GCCGCGGTGCCGGCGTGGCTGGTCGGGGAAATGGGAGGGCTGCGGAGAAGTTGCGCCGATAAGGTCCAGAGCACCAAAAAGTGAAACAACTCAGCGCTTTTCTGCCTGCTTCCCGTGCCCCGGGCGGTGCTGCCTGGTGAGATACCAGTTGACAGGTGCTCTCGGGAAACCCGGTGTTACCCACTGGCGTTTCACTTATTCCTGTCCAGCTGTTCCCTGCAGTGCCTCTTCCCTTGCTCATAGAAGGAGAACCAGAAACGAAGTCTGAAGCTATCAAGTATGCTTCATTAGGAGAAAGACACTGCAGGAAAAGATTTCTTGCCAATCCTCACTACCTGCCTCGTCTATGGAAGCGCCTCTTGCAATACCCAGGCCTAGTGCCTGCCCTGGGAGCTCCGCCTTCTTCCCTGCACAAGAGCCGGAATGGGAAAGCAACCCGTCACTGGCCTTGCCACCAGACAGGCTCCCACTCTTGCCACCTTTGCTGACCATTTTCCAGAGGAGAAATTGGACATCCTGCATCCCACCAAACTTTGCCAGCTTTGAGCCTGCCCCCAAGGGATGAGAAACGCAGTACAACACAGGCTAGGGAGGCTAGGCTGTGACAGCCTCCGGTAAACTGGAGGAGGCGTGCAGAGGCCAGCTGCTTCCCCGTAAGCAGAACAGGAGCACATATCCTGCTTGGCTGTTGGATACCCTGGTTGTAGTTGGCCCTCTGTAAGGCGTCTGGGCCTTGAATTTGTGGGTGCAGGTGGTGCCTAACCTGTTCAACTGTTACTGCTCAGAGACCCGCAGTACACGAGGCATGCTTGTGAAGGTAGTATTTCTCACGTACAATAAAAGTGAATTGTTAACATTTTGCATGGATGAAGAACAGATGTGAAACTCACACCTTCTTTTACCTTAATTTTATTCACACGCTGCAGCCCATGAATGAAAGAACAGCTCTTTGACTGGAACTTGCCATGCTGTATCATGTGCTTGGAATGGGCATCATACCATGGCTAGCACTGCTCCTTTTTCAGTAGGGATGTGCCTTGCAGCAAAGCACTGAGTAGAGAAATACCATCAGTTATGTTATCTCATTCTCTATTCTTGTCTAACATTATCTCTCAGAAACATAGTAAAATGTTACTTTTTCCTGTCAAGACTTTGTGCCCTAACAATGTATGCACTGTAAGGTAAGGTGTAACAGTGGAGCAGTCTTCCACCGGCTGTTGCTGGCCTCAGCTTAGCTATTACTAAGACACTACACTAGGAACATGGAAGAAGATATATCTGCTATCGCCTTCTTACATATTAGAGAAACAAATACCATGAGTCCATGTGCAAATCACACTGTGTCGGAAATAGATTAACTGTAATCACCATATACAGTATCTATTAAATGATACCGTTTCCTTCCTTCCATCATATCTTTGATATGATCTCCCTAGAGATGGAAACACAACCATGTGTATTTTCAAATAAATTCCAAATATCTCCCATGGTTCAAAAATCTAGAGAACCTGTTTTGCTTTCAGTAGGAAACAAAACCAAAGTAACAGCAACCCTAAAAGTTGAAGTAGCCTCTCACATTTTAACTACTTTTCCCTCAAACCCAGCTATTGGGTCTGTCACATGAGGGAAAAGAAAAGAATAACTCATGGAACATGCCACACACATCTCCATAGGAGTTGTGCTGACTTTCAGAATGAAAAGGCAGCTTTCCTCAGCAAGCATGAAGATGTCCATTCTGCAGTTTCTGTTATTAGTATGCTAACGTATTATCAAGCTACTTTTATCGTCTTCTTCCACTCATCCTGTGTGGCATGAGTCTTTGCAACTACAGTGTGATCAGGTTTTTTCAACAGTCTGTTTAACTGTGACTAGGCAAGCCCGTGGGCTGGCAAAAATTCAGTTCTTACACAACTGAAGGATAGAAAACCCCACGTAGTGTTAAGCAACGAACACATGTTTGCAAGGAAGACAACGATGTCTTCAGTTACTGGAAGTAATTTTTTAAGTGCCTCTAATTCACAATGCGACTTAAAAATAGTTAAAGGGTCTCAAGCTGGTATTTCAATAATTCTCAGTTTCTTCCTTGCAGCAGCAGGCTTAAGGCAGGAGAGAAGGTCTGCAATTACGCTTTCCTCA